TGACTTAGCCACAATTCGTGGTGGAGATGGATGAATTCATTCTATAATACCATAGATAAATACTCAAGGAAGCTACAAATACTATGTAAGTTAGACTGAAATTTCCTGGAAAACTGAGTAAAGCAGAATAAATATATAGATCCTTCTGAGTGGCTGCCACTTAGTTGCCTGGAGAAAACCTACTATGTATTTTAATATCATGTTAGGAAAATTATTCTTAGAACTCTCTCTATAAATACATTCATGTAACCAAATGATTTCCCATTTCCTGAATAATAAAATATGACTTCTCAGCCATTTGGTGAATGCCCATACAGACCAATTCCATTTACTTATCCTTAGCTTTTATTTATTTCCTGCAAGAACCATTCTTTGTCAAATCCCACTTTCTTCTGCAAAACCTTCCAAAATAACCAGGCTCACAGGAATGTTTATGCCAATTAATTTCCAGGTGTAGGAAATACTTGGTGGATACAAAGTAAATGCCAATACCATCTTGGGAGTTGAGGATACAAAGAGAGAGTTTGCCTTTATAGGTCTATGAATAAAACTGAGGAGCAGAACACTTTCGTAATTAAGGCAGAACAAGGCAAGGTTGGAACAAGTAAAGCATGATGAAGGATAAGAAGTGACAAGGAGGAGAAGTATGATTTGAATTTGTAATACAATTGAAGGTAAGGCAAAAGGAACTACATTTTGTGTGCTCTGCCTCCTTAGATATGGAATAAAAGCAGGAGTATCACCATCTGCTTTGCTACAGTCAGGAGAGGTCTAACACTATTCCTTAGATTTCTAACTGAATGACTGTATAACTGTCAGATACACTGATGTTTGATTACTCCTGTGGAGTCTTTCAAATATGCCTATTTCAGTTCTCTCATATCAGTAAAATTCAAATTAATTCATTTTAAAGGGTCTCATCACCCTTAGGAAATTTAGTATCACTAACTTAATATTCTACCTTCTCATGCTTGGAGGCAGGTATTATTACTGCTATAATTAAGACCACATTAATTAAATTTTTTCAATCACTTGAATTTCATCAGACTCTTAACACCAGGGATTGGGTCACGGTCTATGTTGTGAGACAGGAGAGGCATAGGAAAAAGCTTTACTGACCTCCAAATATTGCACACAACTGGACTCCTGTAGTAGCTACCATTGGAAATCGATCTAGTCTAAATCCATAACTCTTGCATGCAAAGAATTTTTTTTGGAATGTGAGTGACTCTGGTACAGCCAAAACTAAGTCAATAAGTATATTGACACCCAGGACCACATGAGGCCTTGGGGGAACATTCAGATATAAACCATAACATTCTGCCCCTTGTCCCCAAAAGATTCATGTACATCCCTCTACGTAAAATGCATTTAGTCCATCCTTAAGAGTTGTCAGTTTCCTAACGGTTTCATCATTGCTGAAAAGTCCAAGTCCAGAACTTCCTCTGAGAATTAAGGTAAACTCTTAGTTATGAGTCCCTGTAGAAATTAAAATAAAATTAAACTCTGATAACATACCATACAATAACACCAAGGTAAGGTTTTTGTCCTATGTTCCAGATGTTATACTGAGTATCAGAAAGATAGCAACATGCTCAGTCTTTTGTTTGTTTGGGGTTTTTCTGTTTTGTTTTGTTTTGTTTTTTGACACGGTCTCACTATGTAATGCAGGTTGCCCTCGAACTCACAGCTATTTTCCTGACAGTGCTGGAATTACAGTGTGCAGCACCACGCCTGGTGTCAGTTTCATCTTTTAAGTACATCACTATCTGGTTAGTTGGAGCAGGTTTTCAGTTATGTGGTCATTCACTGGATATTTAGAGAGTAATGGCACAAGACTGATAATCTCAATTAATAACAGAAAAAAGGATCTGGTTAAGAAGAACTAGAATCAACTAGATTTTGTCACTAAAGTGTTAACTGACTTTTGTGCCAGTTGATCCCCCAAGAGTTTCCCTTTCTTTGGTGTTCTCTGCTTTCCTTGGGATTACTAGCTGTAGGAGACCTTCAGAATACCAGTAATGACATCAAAAGAGAATATGTCATAACCCAGCACAGTGAACATCACACAGTCACCATCACTATATTGGCTCCCAACTCCGTTTGAGATGACTATCTCTAAGAGCAGAACGGGCAAAGCAGCAGAGGGGAGCTGAACAACTTTAAAGGGAAGGAAGAATATAGACAAACTTGAAGAGAGGTGGGATTTAAAGGAGACAAATGAAGCGGACATGATGAGAAAGCAAATAACTATGATGAAAGGCTCAAATTAACTTTGGTTTGAATGATTTTTATCAGACATAACCCTTTGAGAATGCTAGAATTAGATTCGTATTGAAAATATAAACCTAGGTATGATGGTACACATGTATGATCCTAAAACTCTCGAGGCTGAGGCAGGAAGATCACTGTTTCAAGATTCAAAAAAGAAATACAGAAAGATAGAAAGAAAAAAATAAAGAGAGAGAGAGAAAGAAAGAAAGAAAGAAAGAAAGAAAGAAAGAAAGAGAAAAAAGAAAGAAAGAAAGAAAGAAAGAAGAAAGGGAGGGAGGGAGCGAGGAAGGAAAGAAAGAAAGAAAGAAAGAAAGAAAGAAAGAAAGAAAGAAAGAAAGAAAGAAAGAAAGAAAGAAAGAACGAGCAGGCTGGGCATATAGCTCAGTGTGAAGGCTCTGAATTCAATCATCAATACCCAAAAGAGAGAGGGAAAATATCAGCAATCATGGTTTGGGGATGATGACTTAGAGACAAAGCTGGCCTCATCACTGATACTCTCTGCTTCACATAACTACATTCCCATTTGCCATTCTGGACAGAGAGATGGAAAGTTCTTTTGGGAATCAAAGGAAAATTTTGGAAGCCTAGGATACTGGTCACATGCCCCATGCATCCCTGACAACCACTGTCTCCTCCTACTATATGTGTGTTTAAGTCTGAGGGATCCCTCAGGACTCAGATTACAGACTCCAAAAAAAAAACTAACATTACACCTTAGCCAACACACTTTGGTCTTTACTGTTGACTTACCTGTTTAATTTTATTGTTTGGTTTCTTTTCAAGCAGAGATTCTTCCACGTAACAAGAGATGTTCTGTGAGCATCTGCTCTATTTTATATCCTATTTGTAATAACTCACCTACAAGTTCCTTGCTGGAACCCTGAGAAAAAAGCACCTTTACAGATAAGGAAAAACGAGACTCCATGAGGTTAAATGACCCCCTAAGTCCTCAGATAAGAAATAGCTAGACCAGGATTTGAACCCTGCAAACAGAGCAAGGATTAGGGGAGACAAGTGGTACATGAAAGGTGCAGCAGGTCCTAAATCTGAGGTGCTGACTTTTATCTAAATGAACCTGAGAAGGGGAGAAGGGATCCTTTACTTCAACATAGTCACTGCCCTGCTCACAGGGTCATCTGGCTCCAGAACTCAAACTCTATGTTGTATCTCTCTCTCTCTCTCTCCCTCTCCCTCTCCCTCTCCCTCTCTCTCTCTCTCTCTCTCTCTCTCTCTCTCTCTCTCTCTCTAACAACTCATTGGAACTCACAGAGAAAAATGATTCTTAGGCAAATTCAGCACTGGAAATCCTAGCTCCCAAGTGTCTGCTAACCACAATCCCAGATGGTTCTCTGACAAGACAGAACCAGAAAATAAAGGATAAATCACTGTCAGCCAGAACTGCTCCTGGAGGTGCACATAACACTCACATGTCAAGAGGCCCTTGGGTGTGATGTAACCCTTGCTGGACCTAGGTGGGGATGCAGAAGCAACAGCTCTGAAAATAACAACTTTTACAGCATCAGAATGTCTGCAAAAGTAGTTGTACTCTCCAGTGACCCATAGGCTCCTCATTTTCTTTAGCTTGTAGATAAATGTGACACCCCAATTTCTTTAGCTGCAACAGCTTTCCCTAGGAAAATGACACTGTTGGGTTGGAAAGTTGTTAAAAATCTCAGAGTAGAATGGTCCTGAACCCCAGTCCAGAGCTATGTTAGAAACAGACAAGAGTTTCCCATTCTTCTAGTATTTGGAACAAAGAAAGATTCTTTTGCCAAACAGCAAGCTGTAGATATTAGGTTAGACAGGAGGACCATAAAGCCAACAAGAATGGTTGCATTAAAGAGGTGGTGCAAATCTCTCGAGACCAGTGAGCTCTGTCAACACTGGCATCAGGTTGCACAAAACACATGGACATCCAAAATTCTGGCTATGTTTATATTTATATTGCTCAGGGGGAAAAGCATACAGGAGTAAAGACACTAAGAAATGCCTTTGTCTTTTGATTACACACTTCACTTGCTCTCAACCTAGTTTCTTTCCACACTATTCTTCTTTCAGGTTCTCCTGATTCTGTTTCATTCCAAATGAAATCACTTTACCTCACCCTCAACCAGTCTTATTCTAACCTGATACATCTCACCTCACTCTGTATCCTGCATCCTATTTTGATTGAAATATTTTGCGGCATCTTAGTCCACATTTCACAATTTCATTTAGGCTAAAATCCATATACCTTTATGGCTAGATCATCATGTACAATAAAAATTTCAACAATGTTTTTTGGGTAGTATTCCTGTAGAAAAAGACACATGAACATAGATAAATTGGTAATCCAGCACTTGGAGAATGGGATTGAATGGACTCCAAATCCACCTACTATATTCAAAGCAGTATAATTGCAATGCAGTATAATTGAATAAAATCACTAAGAGAGAGATTTCCAGCGGTTAAACTCCTACTCTTGCTCAATTGGACATTTTTACTAGTATATGAGCTAGAGGCAAAGAAAGAGATAACAATGGAACTAAGACTGATTGAAATACCTCCTTTCTGCTATAAGCTAAAACTTGCCTTGTGCACAGTATGCCATTTTATTTTCACTACCATATTAAAAGGTATTTATGTACCCATTTTATACATAAAGAAATTCAAGGCTAAGAAATCTTGGTGATGTCATACAACTAAGTGATTTTAGAACCAATCAGAGAGATGACAATGAGCCATACCTTCACGATGCTTCTGACTTGCAGGGTGATGATATCAGTGCAGTGTTAGTAGCAAGAGCAGTGATAATGTCAGCATTGGCTATATTTGCCACAATCTTCACACCAAAATTTCCCCTATAGCTGCGGATCACATAAACCATAAAGCAATATAGAGAGTGAGCTATGCATTGTAATAACAACATACACATTATAAGAAAAGCAGTTTAATCCAGCTCTGCCTTTCCCTTGAATTTATTTCACCCATGTATTACTCATTTATATGTCAGTTCTCTCTCTCTGTGTGTGTGTGTGTGTGTGTGTGTTTGTCTCTGTCTCTGTCTCTGAGAAGAAAAGCACTTTGTTTTGTTTATTGACATATACCCATCCTTTAAAATAATGCCTAGGTATATGGCAGTGTAAAGGTGCTGATTAAATATTATGTTGAATGAATGAATAGTATAATATATTGAGAAGTTCTTGATATTTGAACTATAAGGAAAAAATGAGATCTAATGAATAAATTGTTCCACACAATTATAAGATGGAACATATACTATTTCCTTACATTTAAGTGACTAGAGCATAAATATGCTGAGACAAGAAAGATGTTGATCCCCTAAAGTGCTGGACCAAGTTCACTAGTATTATAATACACAAGAAAAGACTGTATGATGTTTAGGGAGAGTCCTTGGGATAGAAAGAAGATCCAGAACACTTTTTTGTGGGTGTAAAGAATATTTTGTACCACAATAGTTAGACTAACATATTGGAAGAGCCACAGACATGCTGCATACATTCCAAAGACACTATAAAGACCTCTGGATAAATGTCACATGGGATAAAGTGCTCAAATAAAATGATGACAGTCTACCACTATGAAATTGTTCAAAACCACCTTGGTTAAAGCACCCTGGAAATTCAGTTACATTCTGCAAAGTGTACTGAATTAGAGGCTGGACCATCACTACACCTACACTGTCTTGATGGGATTTAAGCATTAGAGGGATATTGTACTAAGCCCTATGAAACCTATCAAATCTGAATTATGATAGTTCTGTCTCCTGATCATGCTAATCTGAGAATCCTCAGAAGTATTCAGCAGAATCCTCAATGAAGCCCAGATCTGACTTCAAAGTTTACCAGTCTTAGCTATGTCCATGGATCACCCTCACTCCCACTCCTGCTATGGACACTGGGAGGATACTCTTAAATGTCTCCTCTACCCTGCTGCAGACTGGCCATGGATGACCTTCTGCATCATCTCTGCCTCCTCCCATTCTCATCCCAGTCTCTATGCAAGCCTTGATTCTGGGCCCCAGAGCCTGCTTATGCTGCATGCCCACTAATTAATTATGAAGGAAATCAATCCTCACTCATGTGTCAGTAGGCAGAATACCTCACTTCAGTGCAAATGCTCACTTTCCTGAAGAACATTTATTACAAAATAAATCCCAACAATCTCAGGATATTATCAAAATGTATAATCAAGAATAACAAAGGGTAACAGAGACTATAGTATGAGTTGAGTGTTGCAATCCAGGCAACAGGGGCTACTAGAGGATCCTGTCTTAAAGTTCCAATTGCCATGCAAGAATAATATATCTACCTACAATTTCTAACAACTGATAGTAATTTAAGATACAGTTTATGGAGATAATAGAAGTGCCCTAAGTCTCTAAACCCACTTCTGGTTTTGCAACTGATTTGAGAGTAAGGAAAATAGATGAGTTTGGATTCTTATGATATTTAAAAATGCCAAGAGTATATGAAGTGAAATATACATTAGGAACAAAATGCTAATGATGGACCCTGAGAAGATATGAGCAAAGGAGTAGGATTAGTTATTCAGCAGAAAGAACTAGAACACCTCTTTTCCCCTACAAAATTTCCCTTTCAAAAGCACAGGCAACAGGAGTAAAATTTATGAACAGTGGGTTAGTACATTCTTAAGGAATTGGGCATTGATGAGAAGACTCAGTAAAAGAGACTCCAAAAATAGTGCCTCAACAGTGAAACAATAATAATAGTTTTATTAAGGCTGTAGGAATTGTTTTATAATTACTTTGAGCTAACTTGAACATTTGTAAGTTGGACTTATAATGGAAGAATTTCCTTTGGACCCAGTGGGAACTGGCTGTGCTTTATAAATTGTGCTGCTAATGCACATCACACAGGAGATGGAGTGGGAGGGGCTCCAGGGACTGTGGACACAATCACTGCTGCGTCATGGCTCGGAAGGTGTTTAGACACACACTAATGTAGGTGCTCAGACCATGTGTGGGAGGCCAGCTCCCTGTCACAATTTAATACAAAAATGTAGCTGTTCAGTTTGGATCTTACTTACTAGTTTTTTTTTTTTTTACACTAGAGAGACAATACAATATTTATACATGTGAGTCTGATTTACTTCACTAGATATTGTACAAATGAAAGGGAAAGAAAGTGCTCAAAAGGAAAAAACAACTGGGACAGGAGTAAGGATAAAAGAAAAAGAGAACGATTATATACAAATATGTATAGATATATATGTGTGTAGGTAAATATATACAAGATAGATTACTATACTAATCTGTTCATCAAAAAATGTTTGTGTTCTCATTGTCTGGTTGCTCATTGTTTCAGGTCTAAATCTTGTAACCTGAACAACTATGTTCAAGATAACAATATGCAATATATTAACTAGAGCTAATTTCCTATTTCTTTTTTTTTAATTATGCACCATTTTTATCCTTTTCTGTTTGTTTTTTAAATAATTTTTTTAAACTATAGATGTTGTCATAGGCCAGACAGAAAGGGGACAGTGAGCCAAACTGTCTCATGCTCACCCCTGAATTCAAGAGCACTAAGTCCTCAGAGGAGCCGGGAAGGAAAATGAGGAAAGCTACAAGCACGTGATGAGGAGCCTCTTCCTGAGGCCATAGCTCTCTCCTAAGGCATCTTGGGCTCCAACCTGTTTCCAGCTTTTTTAGGAAGTAATTCATGTTCTCCTTCTCCATATATTCTTTGTCAAAAACTTTACCCAGGCTCTACATCCACAAAGTTGCTCTCCTCAATGGCAAGTTATTGGCAAAGAAATACGTATGATGTTTTTAATGCATGACAGCAGGCCAGATCCTGATTTGGCAGATATTTATTAAGAGGCCTCTGGACCAACACAATTTTGAAGAGTCAGTAATCCCTGTTAATTTGATAACAGAATAGCAAGTAAATGTCAGCTGTTTTCTCCAAGTGTATTTCTGGTAAACTCATAGCACTTACTGATAAAACCTGGAACTGAAGAACAAGTCGGGCATCTGCAATGTTTGGAATGGGGCCAGTTAGCTTTAGACATCACCCCTGTCTGCTGCCTTTATCACCTTTAACTTGCTTATATGAACAGAGGCAGTGTGATCAAAAGCTACTGTAAATATTTAAATTATTTTTAAACATTACTACAGTAAAAAAAAAAAACACATATTGCCATTAATCCCCCACAAAGTAAGCCTGCTTACTTTAAATGTATTTATCTTATCAATCTTGCTACTTCTGAAGCAGGGCTGGAAGTACTTTCATGAGTGTCTCTGGTGGACTGTCATGGCCGCCTCAGTGTCCTGAGTCACTTCCAAACATTCACCTCTCACGGGCATTTTCATTTTGGGGAAGAGCCAGAAGTCAAATGATGCCAGATGTGCTGAATAAGGAGGATGGGGATACACTGTCACGTTCTCCTTTGTAAAAAAAATGGCCATAAACATTTTTAATCAGTTCAGGACATGGAGACAATTGTGCAAGGTAGTCACAAAATAGGACTTCCAGAACTATTTCCAGAAGTTGCAAGAACAAGGCAACAAGAGTATTCAAAGTGAGAGACTGATTTGGGGGAAAGCAATGTGTTTTACACTATATTTTCTTTTAAAAATTTAAACATTCATCGTATATTTCGATCACACTTTGTGTATGCATCTACACAAACATAACACTCTGTTCATTACTGTTTTATGGCAGGCAGTGGTGAGGGCTCAAGAACTGAGACAAGCATGACAGTCCGCCCTGAGCCCTGAGCTCCTTGTTTCTTCGACATGAAGCCTAGTGAACCAGTTTTTAAATTTTCCTAGCTGGACTACTCTAATCTTAAAATGGAACCGCTCTTCCTCCCAGCTCAGGGGCTTTCGGCTCTACTGATTGAATTGCATAATTTGATTTAATAAATCAGGAGAATTTGCAGTGGGTTTTGGGTATTTCCATTAGGGAAGATATATGTGGTATGGCTGCTGTTTGGTCATGTGTTTAATTAAATTAATGAATTAGTGTCTTTGCTAGTGAAGATGCCAGGCGCATAGACCCTTTATTTTTTAGCCCCGAGGTTTTACTCAGTAAGATTCCTAAGTTTTAGTGCAAACAGATTTTTGAAAAACAGAGTTGGGTTACTTTCTCTTCTCCCATCAAAAGACCTGGTTACACCAATGTCAAAGGGTTTCGTTGGTTTCTGCTTCTAAACTTAACCTTGCATAGCCCACCCATATCATGTTCTCCTTCTGGATCCCTGTGCTTACTCTTCTTCCTCCTTCTTATCCTCCTGCCTACATCAGGACATAAAGACACTTGCTTTCACATTCTGTGAAGACCATATATGGCAGCCTGGCCAAGGACTCCCCTGATAAAAAAAGCACTTCAATAAGGACTTAAAACCTAAAAGATGAATGTACAAACAAATTGCTCTCTCAGTATACACCGGAGATTGATTTTGGACCCCCAAGGATACCACGAATCTGCAGATGCTCAAATCCCTTAAACAAAATGGTATAATATTTGCATATAACTTACACATATCTTTCCGTACACATTCAATCATCTCTAGATTGCTTATAATTCCTAATATAATGTAAATGCTATGTAAATAGTTGTTATGCTGTGTTGTTTAGCAATTAATGACAAGAAAAAATAGTCTATGCATGTTCCATGCAGGTGCAATTTTTTTCAAATATTTTCAATCTGTAGTTGATTGAATCCCCAGCTGTGGAAACTGGACAAAAAGGGTTCACCATACCTCCAAACATCACGTTATGCACACTTACAACATAAAACTTGATCTGTCCATTTAAAAATACATTTTTAAAAACTAAGAATGAAACAAAATTAGTGTTTCCAGCCCCATGCACCAG